GCACCTCCACCACCTCCCCCGTCACTGCAGACATCAGCTGGCCGCGGGGGGGGTAGCGCCTGCGGGCAGGTAGGGAGGGAGGGAAGGTAGGGAGGGGAGGAGAAAGCAGGGGGATGGAATTAAAAATCCCAATCCAACCCAGCCCAAGCGCTGGTAGCTGGAATCGTCGGGACTCAAAGCGGCATGTGTGTATGTGTGTATGCGCGTATGTATGTATGTATGTATGTATGTATGTATGTATGTATGTATGTATGTATGTATGTATGTATGTATGTATGTATGTATGTATGTATGTATGTATGTATTTTCAGGATCTGTGCGTGTAATGAAGCCGGTACTGGGACTGACGTGCAAAACTCAGTCGGCATACATATGCTCTCGCCCTGAACCCGCCACATACACGCACATAGACACACACAAACACCGAAGCTCTCCCTCCCCTTCCCCTTCCCCCTCCCCCTCCCCCCTGCCCTTCCCCCTCATTGCCGCCGGGTGCACACTCCAACTCACGTGCTGTTCGCGGCAGCCTGTGCCCCGTTGCGCTGGCTAGGCGTGTCACCCAACGGCAACACCACTTGCTCGTCCACTTCAACAACCTCCTCGTACAGCTTCTCCGGAGTACGAATCTCTAAATCAAAGATATTTGGACGAGACTGCAAAAGACGGCATTCGTCAGAAACAGTAACCGCGGCAGTTAGCAGTCGCAGTTAGCAGTCGCAGTAGCAGCAGCACCAATAGCAGCAGTAGCAGTAGCAGCAGTAACAGTAGCAAGATGGGGAGCTAACAATCGATGTGGGTCAAACTTCACACATTCTGCTACTCGACGACCAGCTCAGCTTGCGAAACGCGATGAAGGCCAGCTGGGTGACTGGCCGCCTGTCTGACTGCCTGGTTGGTCGACTCCAACCCCCCACCCAGGAACCCAACAATGAACCCCTAAGGCCTCCGCCAAAAACCCAGGCGGCCCCACACACACATACACACACATACACACATACACACACATACACACATACACACACATACACACATACACACACATACACACATGCACACACATACACACACGCACACACATACACAAATACACCCACCCCTTCCGACACCCCCGGGCTCCCACCCTCGTAAACCTGCGCACGTGCCCCCTCGTCAACCACCCCTCTCCTCCCCCCCCCTCCC